ATTATTATTATATATTCATTTTAGATGTTTACATTTGGAAAAGCTGTGCTTCCTGCATAAACCTGCCCCTGTTGGTTTGGCAGCAGCTTGCTTGCCCTAGACAGTTACCTTGTTTAATTTCTTAATTCAAGTTATATATATTTTGTTCTATTTGTGTTATTTAAGTTATTTATAATAAGTGAAGTTTACGGTTAAGTGCACTGTGTCAGACTCATTTTGAATAATAAAGTTTATTGTTAAATTGTTAAATACCCTGCCTCCACTACATAGGCCTATGTTTGTCACATCATAAGTGTTTGATCACCACATTTGAGTTATTATTGCAAAAAAATTATTTATGTATATATATTCTGTTTATGTATGCTATATACTGTATTCTATATACAGTACCAGTCAAAAGTTTGGACACACGAATGGGAAGTGTGTCCAAACTTTTGACTATACTGTACTATAATATAGCCTACACAAAGAATATCGGCCCATATATCGATCTTTTTTAATCCCTAACAGCGGTATCGGCCCCCCAAAAAACCCATATCGGTCGGGCTCTATTATCAACGTCCCCACTATCCACAACAATATTTCATGCCCGGCTTGCCCTTTTTAATTCAATGAAATTAGGAGGGATCCATAGATGAAAATAAGTAACTAAGATAATTATAATAAAAATATAATTTTTAAATTCCAGAAATTTGGGGCTGAATTAAAATAAGAACGCTCTTGATTTGTAGTTGCTTTTGTTTATTTCAAAGATTTTTTTATTTTAAATAAGTTTGCTAAGTTTGCTAAGGCCCCGGTCCCTGGTTGAGAACACAGGCTCTAAATTATGTGGAGATTTCTGCAGATTCTAGCGGCACTGACTCCTGGCCATTGGCGCGGCACATTTCTGACTAATACAGTGTTAAAAGTGAACAAGATCAAATGTTTGCATTTCTAAATGACACAAGACACATACAGTAGATGCTACCTTGAGTGTTGTTGGTGTCCTGTGATTGAGAGTTGAAACTGAACCCCGATGACCTGTGAAACAGCAAACAGCAGACTCTGCGTCTAAACCACATACTAGAGTTCATATTTATATGCAAACAATATAAAGACATTAGACATGATTAATATTCCAGTATATCAGAAGTGCTGCTGAAGAGACACAAGAGCAAAGCCGTATGAATAATATAGACTAGATCAAGATAACCACTCATAATAATAATCAATAACAACCATGAAGACATGTACTGAGATTAAGGGGGTCACAGTAATAAGGTTTAGTAACTCACGGAGCAGTAAATGAAAAGCCCTTTGAGTTCTTCTCACTGATGGATGAAGATGCTCCTGCATCAGGTTTAGCAGCTCCACCTGCAGCAGCCCAAACACAAACCAATTCATTACTTCAATCAAACCATTACTCCACAGATACTGGAGTATAAACTAAGTAGTGCAGCCGTCATTTAATTTTTTTAGCATTTAGTATTCTTATACTATACTATTTGTACATGTGGGAACTCTGAGTCACACTCACCAAACACAAAACTAGCTGATGTAGTCTGGGCTGGACCTGCCAGTGGTGCTGGGACCTTTAACGCACCTTGAAATGAATTCTGCAAGTAAAAACAATGGTTACACCACATGGCAGATGTTTGCTCACTCTGGAGACTTTGTGCTTCTGATTTGTAAGAGGAAATCCTTGTTACTAACACTGAATTCTGATGAAAAGCAGTTTGACATTTCAATCAGCAGCAACTGTACTATTGTGACTGGTGTTTGGAGCAGCTCATGTGTGACTCACTTTATTAGCTTCCACCGTTGCCAGAACCTGCTGAACTACCTGAGCCGCCGGTGCAGGAACAGATGCGCTACAGACACATAAAACAGAGTCATGACTAAGGCTGAAACGATTAATCGACATTGTCAACAATAAAAAAAAAATTGTCTACAAATATTTTTGTTGTCGAACAGTCATTTAATCTCATATAACCTAATGTAAGGGCCTGAAATAATGCGGTTTGACTAGTGTGACACTGTAGCTCAGGACTGTAATTCAGCGCTGCCGGATGCAATTCAAGAGAAGACGACACACACGGCGCTTATGAGAGTCGGAATGTAAACATAATCGAACCAGGTGGTGCTGAGAGCGGCGTTTAGATGATTATGTAAATATGTGCTGCAAACTTTCCTCTCAATAACAAAATAAACAGCAGTTAAGAAAGAATCTGATCATTGCGATATTGATTTAAAGCCAGCCGCTTTACAGTATTTGATAGGGCTGTCACTAATGATTATTTTAGTAATAGAGTAATCAGTTTATTATTCTGATTATTCTTTTTTTTTTGTGGTAATAAAAATAGACCTATGTGAACAATAAACTTTAAAATGACTTAAAATACATATATAATAGCAATGAGACAATTATAATTGGTTCAAATAAAATATTAAAAGCAAGAGGGTACATTAAACAAAACAGTTCAAAAACATAATTTAATAAAATAATATAATCATAACTTATATAAATTTTGTATGACATCAAATGCCAGCAAGCGGGCGCCAACAGCTGGAGTTTGACGCGGTCCGTGCATGTAAATGATAATTGTTTGTGTGGAGCAGCATTTACTGTGAACGGAGCCACTCTGAGATGCACGTAACCTACACGCATATAAATAAAGCGCATATTAAACCCACGGCGTATATATTTATTTAATTGAATTGCAGCCTTTGAAATAATAATGCTTTTCATGCGTCCGTAATATTCCGGTATTCTGCTACTTTGCCGGTTAATCGACACGAGCAAAATGCAATTGATGAGTATTTAACTAGTATCTAGTGTTGCTTTCAGTTAGAATTACAACTTGATTTTCTGCTATAAAGTAGCTCTCGCTCTCTCTCTCCCTCCACACACACACACACACAGTGGGTATAGAAAATAATCACCCCCCTTTAAAATAATCACATTTTGTTGCTTTGCAGCCTGAAATGAAGACGGACACAGTTTTTGTTTTATCCAGCTGTATTTACTCAGTGCAACTTATAACATCCAAGTGAAAGATAGAACAGCAAAATGTCATAAAATAAAAAAACAGAATCATTGAGTTGGAAAAAGGATCACCCCCTCCTAAAAATGATTTGTAAACTCAATCAGGTGTAGCTAATCACCTTCTCAATGGCACACAAAGCCATTTGACTTTCAACTGTGAT